GATGCAGTCGACAAACCCCTGGTAGTGACAGTTACACATCCGCTCGATGTCTTTGTCGTGGTTTTTGATCCGAGCGTCCAGTTTGTCCATAAACTTCTGGTGCTCATCGCCATCATATATGGCCCTAAATTGGGTGATAATCATCAGTTAGTCATCGCATTTACCACTCGCTTCAATGTCTCGATAGCCAAGACAATAGACTAATTGATAAGCGGATCAAACAAATGATGGTATGAATTGACACCTGAGGACATGAGCGACAGTATTAGTGTCCGAAGACTCCAACTCTAAGAGCAAGTGATCGTATTGTTGATCACTCGGCGGCACTTCCAGCGATGTCTTGGCCGCTGATGAGGACTCCTGCGATGAACTCATGTCTTGTAATACTAGTAATCACTTGTGGGATGTACTGAATGACAGAGTGTCACCATAAATGTGACAAATACTTAGCTAGCTCACTATTTTATAAACATTGCTATAAATAGGCGTTAATATTAAGGCATTCACAGCAATAATGTCCATATATTTGGGGCATATTTTTGCACATTTGTATGAACTCTACAGCAGTTTATACTGTGAGTGAGTTGTGAACAATAACTACCCTTTGGCTCAATTAGTGGACGTTTTATATGAGGAAAATCCTTCAATGAATGAGTGATTTGTGTTTTTATGTGGGATTTAATTAAATCATAGCTTTTGTAATGTATTTAAAGGGATAATTGATTGAAGCCTTGAATGATATGCAATAAATTGAATGCATTACTAATGTATTGATTCATTGCTATTGTCTGTCATTGTGTGTATATACTGTATGATAGGCTATATGATACCTGTTATCTAATTAACACAAAAAGGTAATAAAGTATTATCATAATTCTCATTAAAATCAGTTTTGAAACAAAATCATATCACAATTTATAACCATTTAAGTCATTCAATACTAAATATTAAATCAAGAATCTCATATATAGTTTATCACCACTTTTTTTGAAATTAAAAAACTTTATAAAAAAGTTTGGTTTCACTGATAGGTTAACCACAAAACAAAAGTTATGAATTGATTGAGAAGTTTGATTGGCGTTAGTGATAGCCTAGAGATAATAGTCACCTGAGAGTGGGTCCCAAGTGGTGGAAGGAATCCATTTCAATCTCCGCGATATACATCTCATGTCTCCTGTCTTTGATCTCCTGCTGGAAACCATCGCTCACTTGAAGCCAATCGAAGTCTTTCTTATCAGACAATT